CTCAAGCAACTGCCTGAGATGTAGAGGTCACTGACAAGTGAAGACACGCAGCTTCCCTGACTAGCGGAGCGCAGCCACCGCCTCCGATGAGGCAAAGACCTTCCGTGAGCTTTGGCGGTCTGCAATGGGCCAGAACACCGAAAAGCTCCTTGGTGTTGCAGGGCAAGTATGTGTGCGTGAAGCCTCTTCTCTCAGTTGCAAGGACGGTCGATGTGGTTCTGTTCTTCCATACTCTCTTCAGCTGTGTGGTCTCCCCAGTGCGCGAAAGGCTGAAGATCGGCTTCAGGCATGAGCATGCCCCCTTGAACTGCTTAAAGCTCAGCTCCAAGATGCTCCAAGGTAGGGTATGTCACCATGATCGGGGACTTCTGCATAAAGAGCGCATCTGGATTGATGCCGGATTCGGTTTTTGCACGACGTCGAGAATCCTCCATTCTCGTTGCTTGGTGGGCAGCGCAATTTTGCAACGCTTTCCCGGTATCAGGCCTCGCGCATCATCTCACCATAGGACCATAGCTCTTTATAGGCATTTGTGCTCTTCACCGTAATGCCGTCGGCATGCATCATCAACGATTGTGCCGAGGTTATCAGTCTCTTTGGCATTTTCCCACTTTGCTTGTACAAGGTATCACTGCCAATTCTGTGTTGGCTTGAGTATTGGAGAGTCTGCAACAGATGCACATGTTTCGGACCACTAGAGTGTCGGTTCATGTCAGAACTTGGAGCCGCTCAAGTACACCTCAGTCGTTGGGTTGTTCATTACGGCGATCTCCTGCGTCGGCTTCTTACACGAGCTTCTTGTAATTCATGCGCATCTTCCCTCGATGCTCCTTTGGATCTCAGGCCTACATTTTCTATGATGTTGTGGCCAACGCCGCATCCTGCATGCCAAATGAGTTTTCTGCGCTGGAGCTCAGAGCCAGGCCCGCTCTCGCTTTCTGTTTGCCAGCTCAGGAGGAGTATCATGCGGTAGAGACTCTTCGAGACAACATGTGGTATGCCGCTTGGCCGACATTCCCCAGCGGCCAGGTGACCAATTTGATGTGCAGGGCCTTTGCGGCCTTTCATCTCACAGTCGTACTTCATCTTTGTGAGTGCATGTGCTTGGGCCACGCCGCGACGCGACATCTTTTCATCGAGCCTACTCCTAAATGGATTTGAGCTGCTCGTGACATGGTTGCCTCACCTTCCTAGGTCAAGCTGGACATGTTCAAGACACTAGCCTTGTTCAACGGATCATTCTCTGCGCATTATAACGCTCCGACCTACTATGCCGAGTTGCAACTGGGCATTTGAATTTGGCCACGTCTTCGCAAACATGTAAGTTCTTGTGCAGTTCCTGCGTAAAGCGCTAGCTTGGAGTGCGCCGCCTGAGTTTGCGACTACCAGTCCGGTTGCTCAGAACCACTTACCGGCACCAGCCATGACAGCTAAGGAAGGAAAAATCATTCCTGAATTACATGAGGGAGACTTGGTGGCATCATCTAGTAGCACATGGCGCATGGTCAACATGTCCGTGTTCGTCGCATTGTGGGCAGGATCGCGTCATTGCAAGCTTGTCCGGCTTTTCCGTGCACGATCAAAGACAAGCAGAACAAGACACAGCAACTAATGGAAGAGCTAGCCATCATCAGGCATAAACTAAACTCCTTTGAAGAACAGTCCCACGCCGGCACCCAAATGCCTATCCACGTCAGGGCGACGGCCATCTCGTTTCGCCTCCAGCAGGGTGTATGGCTTTGTCTATATACACTCGCGTGTCTGTTTATTTGCAAGTATGTCTCCCTGCTCTACACGTTTTATTACATGTTTGCACATATCATTATCATAACTGCTGTTGAAATGCACAGGTTCTTTGTCTTCCTGTCGTCACGGGACAGATAAGCACGCAGGAAGGACGGAGGTGGCTGGTTGGAATCTGATGTGCCTGGTTCTGCTCCCCCAAAAGGTTGCAGCCTCCAAGGGCCAGGCTCCTTTGCCGAAGTTGACATCTCAAAGCGTGCTTGCATGGTCAGGCCATGTTGCCCATAAAGCATAGCCTTGAAGGACGCACAAAGTTTTCGCTACCATTGGCTTCCACACCAAGAATCTCGATGTTCGTCTGCACCTGCTGCTGGACATGTGTCCAACATGAGCGTTCATGTCCGATGTCCAGATGTGGTGTGCGGGGCAAGCCATGAACGCCAGAGGATCATGGCCTGCTGACGCAAATTCGCCGCATGCTTGCTTGAACAAGCGTATGCAACACTAACGTGCTTGTCGTATCTTGTCGCTCCACATGTAGAAGTGCACGCACCTGAGTCAATCGTCCAGCCGCCACCACATTCTAAAAGCGCACCAGTGTTCACCTTGTGTAAGTATGATGTGCGGCTGCCATGCTCTGCAAGTTCAGCTTGAAACATCTTGAAGCTGAAAATGCGAGTCCAATCATCAGATGGTTATCACCTCGTTGTTCGTCGTGTTGTCCACTTAGGCTTGGTTTATTAAAGTTGTGCTGGCAGGACCGCCGGTGCAGCTGCTGGTGGTGGTGATTGTCATACTGATGTCATTGCAGATCTTAGCGGGTGCTGATGAGGATGATAGGGGATGTGACAAGAGATGGCCATCATCACTGAGTTTTGCTTGGCTGAGCTGTGGCTGTTGTGACATTGTGTTGTTGATTTGTCTTGGTGGTTGGTGGACTGCTAACTGAGTAAATTGCCCCTGCGGATCCTGCCATCCCGGAGCATGCTCGACCCAAAAAATGAAGCCCCGCTGCGATGTTACCTCTATTTCTATGTCCACAGCCTGTTGTGAGTTCGGGCCGGAAGCTATTGCAAAACTGGCAAGGTGAGCTTCTGGGCTTTTGGCATTGCCACGCTGCTCTTCACTGCTTTCGGTCTCGCTGGCTTCGCTCGCTTTGGCGACGAGGTCTGCATGTCACCAACCGGTGCACTGCGTGAACCTGAAGTGCATCCGTCTGTGCGTGCTTTTGTCCTGAAGGTGCTTGGCAATGTGCTCAAAAGCCACTTGGCACGGCAGAATGGATGGTCACATTTGGCTGGCCTATGCGCCTTTGCATTGCTCCGGACCACAGCAGACTCTCCTGGCACCAGTCCGTGATTCGAGGTTACAGCCCGGACGATCCGATGATCCAGATTTCCTGGTTTTGTATGATGGATTCTTGCGTCAAGTTACCCTTCGGTTTGGCTTTGCAATCCTTGCTTTGTGTCTTGACTTGCTGGTGGAGCCATCGTTCATCATGAGGTGTCCACCGTCTTCAACTTCCCGCATGCGTTTCAGAACTGACCTCAGCATAGCCTTCGAAATGACCGTGCATCTGCCAACGCAGCGCGGCGATATCCTGCATTGGGCCCGAGCCGCAAGGAGACACGAAGTTAACTAAATGGGCCAAAGCAGCTGAGGAGAATGCGCTCGTCATTCAACGCACTGATAAACAGGGGCCCGGAGGACTCCTGGCCTTTTGGGAGCTGCCGGGGATTCTGCCCGCCCCGCCATGCAGGACAACTTCCTCGTGACAACGATTGCCCTTCTGGGGCTTTCAGTATATATGGGCGTGGCTTTCAAGGACATAGCCGTCATCAAGATGATCAAAGGCAGGGAGGGCGTTGCGTCTCCGAACGATTTCACCCAGAGCGTGGCATCAATCGGTAGGTGCTACGCTGGGTGTTTCCATCATGCCACTGCAGCTGCATTTGGAAAGGCTTGTTGCTTTGAACCTGCCTTGGAAACACAAGCACGTCAGGGTTTGCATTCGGGACCAGGTTCATATTCCCGGCCCTCTTCTTCTTGCAGCTGAACCAGCCTATCCAGATGAAGCGAAAATGCGGCTTGCCCTAGTCGGGACATGCTTGGTCAAATCCTCGATCTGTTTTTGGGACATGCTTCATGCGGTACAGCTGCACCGCTGGCAAGGCAGTGGTGATGTGAACGACCCCAACAGCAAGTTTCGCAGAAGGAGAAGAGGTAACTGGTTGCGAGTCCTCTGCGCACCCCGACATGAGAGGATTTTGGTTTCACAGGCTGACAGGCTGATACATGCTCAGGCAGGCCCCGAAGACCGGAAAACTCCTAGGGTCGACCGCCAAGGTGATCATGATGATCACCGGTTTCGTGCAGGGGCTGCTTGCACTGCTTGTGCACTACAAGGTTATTTGAGCATGTTCCGGCCTGCATCGTGATGTGAGAGCAGGGCACATCATATGGCCGTTTTTTTTCAACCTGCGCAAGAGGGCATGGTGAGTGTGCTTTACTGGGCGACTATGCCTAGACCACTAGATGTAAAGGACCGCTACTTGGGTAGCCACCTGCATGCGCTAGCCCTTGCTCCAAACGGCGTAATCTGCCGATCGAGCAAATAATCTTTAGCTGACAGGGTACCGTGCCTTCACTCAGGCAGATCACAGGTGTGGTCGACACAGGTGATCCACCAGATGCAGAGTTCAAGAAGCACGGTTGTCAATCAGATGTTGCAACATGGAGAAAGACCTGTGGACTCCACACAGCATGAGAAGCAAAGCATGGCGTGCTCCCTTCTCCAGACCGGCATTGGCACCCCCGGGTGCCAGCCTGTGCCGTGACTGAGTCTGGTTATCCAGCAGCGTGTAGCATGTGACTTGCGTGCGTTGCTGCGCTACGACACGATCCAAGTCGCACCTGGCATAGAATAACACATGCCTGAATTTCTGAATGCGGTAGCGGCGAGCTGCCGAAATCTTGGCTTTGGCTGGCGGAGCCTGTCGCTCCAGAGGATAGTGCAAGTTAGATTCAGGTAGATGCTGTTGCAAATCGCACGGCGACAGTCTGCAGGTGCGTGAGGCTCTGCCAATGTTGCACCGTAGGGCGATGGCAGTCTAGGCAGCAGCTTGCTGCTCCAAAGCAATCTCGCTAGACAAAAGCAGGGGATTAGTAAGGCAGTAAGGCATGGCAAGGTGCTTGGGCTTGAGTGGCGAACTCGCATGATGCCCATCAACAACCCTTGGCTCCGGAACGAGCTGAGGATGTCACGTTGGCTTGCTGAGAAGAAAGAGGACACTTGAAGCCTTGCCCTTCTGCTTGTTGTCGGCTAGTTGCCTAGCAGGAGGTGGACCTCACGAAGTTTCACCATTTTGCCAAGACATATTTCAGCTCTTCGGCATGCCTTATTCTCGCCGTGGGCGGCTCTTTCCCTGACACGACGGCAGGCAAAGACTCGAGACAACGGAGCGGGTCCTCGCCCAGGATCTGATGGGAAGCCGGAAGAAAGCTGGTCGCGTCTAAGAGTTCTGTGGAAGGAGGCGAGAGCGTCGAAGAGGCCGAGCCGCACTGGCGCAGGGACCCCGCTCGCTTGCCCAGAAGCCACAACAGCCGTCTTTAGCTCAGGCTGAAGGCTGTGCTCCAGAACATGATCTCCAAACGCTTGGCAGAAGGCTGTGCTCAGAATCAACTGTATTCAAAAGCGCAGAGAAGGCATGGTTATGCTATGGCAGGCTTCAACGCATGGCGTAAAAGCTCGTCGGTACATGCCCCAGCTGGAAGTGCACATCGCAAGTGCAATTCGACAACGACAGTGCGACTGACTTGCAGGTTTGCGTGGAGAGGACGTAGCGAGCTTAGGCGTTCACCTCTCATAAGTGTCGAGTCGGGGCAAGTGTGGGCAGATTTCTTGAGAGAGTAGAAGCGCAGTGCCGCTGCAGAAGCCCTTTTTGGCCCGCAGCCTTGCTCACCTGCTAGCTCTCTGTGATGGTGGAGGCATGGTCCATGGGGCAAGTCATCGCCTCCCGGCTTCTCCCCTTTTTGCCACAGGTCGATAATCGGAGGGCAGTTGCCCTACAGGAGCGAAATGACGACAGCGCCGAGGATGCAATGATGGAGGGTTGGAAAAAAGGACACGGATTCTTGGATTTGTCTACAGTTGCTGTCCGAGGTGGAATGGTGGCCTCCAAGTCCATGGAAAATCTCTGTTTCGGTGGTGTTGCTGCCGTGTATCCACAGGACCACAACCAATTGCCCAAACCCTCCTGCCAAACTCCTGTCTGCGTCTTCTTGAATTAAGTCTGCTTGTCCTTAGTCCGCGGCTTTTGCCAGCCGGGTCGAGCGGACTTCGAGTCTAGCAACGCGGGAGGTAAAACCCTTGTGCCTGTGTACGAGGCGAAGATGCCCAAGAAGTACCGCGCAGCTGCGAAAGGTGAAGTCAGCACCTACCGAGGACAGCACTGCTTCAGCTCGCATTGTTTGGTACAAGACAGGAATGAATACCCACGCGCCCAAATGCAGGAGCCGGAGTTCTCCCAGTGACAAGGCTGGAAGATGGCACAGATCTCAGTCCGTCAGAGATGAGCGCTAATGATACCAGAAGCATCGGTTCTGCACCCAGTGTTTTTTTTTGTGAAAGTTCTCCACGGAACTGCTGAAAGCATCCTCCGCGACGTGCCAATGTTTGGACTGCAGAGGCATTGAACAAATCATTCTTAGACGGCCGGCAGCCACTAAGGCCAAGCGCGTGTCCTTCTCTGGCAGCCACAGAGCGGGAAGAAGAAAGGTGTCCGGTGGTACGACTTCGGAGGTCGGAAGAAGGTCCCCGAAGAGTTCGCCAGTACCTGTGCCTTGTCAGCACGTGGAGGGCGCGCCGGACCTACCTCGTCCCATATCTCTGAAGGCTGCTCGGAGAACTGTAGGCGACATGTAGAAGAAAGCAGCTGGAAGCACGCTCTCAGGAGCGCAGTCTTGTTCCCGCAGGTTTTGGTTTGGTCGGCTCCCAGCGCCAACTTGAGGCCTCTCGCAGAGAATCCCGCAGAGTAGCCATGGAGGACAGCTCCAACCCAGTCTCGCTGGACTGCGCAGCGTCGGTGGACATGCCCATGGATGTGGAGGCCGTGGCAGCCACACAGCTGGACCCGGCCACGCAGCTGGACCCTGCCACTCCTCCTGAGGAGGCTTTGACGGCGACCCTGAGGGAGGAGACACCGGCAGTGACTCCAGTCAAGAAGCGGAGGCAGTCCCACGAGGCCCTGCTGTCTCCAGTGAAGACGTCTCCTGCAGCGTCCGCCTCGTCGTCCTGGGCCATAGTCAAGGAGGATCCGTACCTCGCATCACCAAGTCCATCCGTGAAGAGTCCCATGGAGCTTGCAGACGAGGAGCTTCAGAAGGTGCTGCAGAAGCACCTGGGCAGGCACCTGGAGCCTCTGTCTCATGTCCTGGAACAGGCCGCACACCCGGTAGCTATGCCGGCGTCACTCGAGGAATCGGGAAGAAGGTCACAGAGTTCCCGGTAGAGGTGCAGAAGCGGCTGGTCTTGCTCTACCTGGTCGGGCTGCAGTGTGGCATCCACCGTCCTGAGGGACAGCGTGATTTGGTGCACCTGACCTCGGACGGATTCTGGCTTCCAGTGCTGGAGCGGTTTCTTCAGGGCATCCTGGAGAAGTATCACAGTGAGAAGAGAAAAATCGGCTCTGCTGGCTTTGAGTCCATAACGACGCGGGCAGAGCGAAGCGGCCTCAGGCTGCCGAGCACACAGCGAAGTACCATTGCGGCTGTTGACGTGCCGCACTTGGAGGCGCCGGCCCACTAGAAGCACCTCTGTAGAAGAACCTCCACTGTAAAAGCACCTCTGTAGAAACACTTGGAGGCGCCGGCCCACTAGAATCACCTCTGTAGAAGCACCTCCACTGTACAAACACCTCTGCAGAACCACTTGGAGGCGCCGGCCCACTAGAAGCACCTCTGTAGAA